AGACTTTTTCTCTTCAGAGTCTTGATATTATAGAGAATATAAGTCTGTTTCTATATAATAATATAAATATTATCAGCAGAATGTAGAGAAACTGGTTATTTATATCTTAAAATAGAAGACTTTATCAATGATTATATCAATATAGAGTTAATTCTCAAATTCAATAGAAATCTAGTATTGCTGTTCTTACTTCCTTGCAGAATCTATTGAATATTGAGATATTAATACTAGATTTAATATATCTCACTGTGCAGAGATCAAAGACTCAGTCAGACCTTGAGATATACTGATTTTATAGTTGTTATATCTGCTAATTATGTATTGAATACAGTTGTCAAGGTATCTTTTTATATTTTTCTGCTGAATGTGAGCCAGATTGAAAAGAGCAGTATGTAAGTGAGACTTAGTGTTGATGTTTTGAAACATCAAAGATAGACAGAGTTTTCATAGAAGTTGCTTCTCAGATATCTTCATAATTACAGATTGAGAATCTTTCAAAATCAAGAAGATTGATGTATATGACTAGGTCTCTTCACCTTACAATTTGTATGACAATTTGACCTGGGGTTGTGGTGTGATAGGGGTGAACAGAGGATAATCCCACACAGAAGTTTTGAACAATGTCTGGTTCATGTTTGGCTGAATAACTTCACCATCACACTGGGTATGCAGTTGGCGATGGGGTCAAAATGCTTGTATGATCGAGGGCTTTTCAATGAATCTATCAGCGGGTTTTTATTTGAAAAATTAAGCGAGTTCGTGGTGAAGCGCTGAGATTGTTTTTATAACTCATAAGATTGATTATCTGCTTCTAAGATCTGAGTGTCAAAGTCAGAAATGAATGTTATAAGAGAAGTGTTTCTCTGTCAGACACTCTATAATTAATCTAACACTTTCTGTTATATAGCAGTGTCTTGAAACAGAATATCAAGATATTTAATGATATTGTCAGATATTCACAATACTGATTTATATACTTTTATTCATGAATGAAACTTCTGTTTCATATAATTCTTCAATTATTCATTAATATATTAATCTTGATTAATTAATGAACTGATGATATCTTCATCTACACTTAGTTTTATAAGCATTTTCATTCTTCATGATGAGTAGAGAGTGAGATTAAAAGTATTGAAATATATAAGAGTATCTAAGTATTCTTTCAGTGCTTTTATATTCAATTCTGTAGATGCTGAAGTTGCATGAGTTCTCTATTAAGTTAATTATTGAATTTTCTCATATTAAAGTTATTAAGTTATATATATATCAGCTATCTGTTACTGTTATAATTTTAACATTACTTAGAGTCACTGTGATATTACTTCTATATTTATATTTAAGAGTTCTCTTATATTATTGTTAGACATGATTATATCATTTATTAGATATATAATATCTATGAAATCTGAAGAAGTATAATTATATAAATATCTCATATGTCTGAGATGTTAGAACTCTCAGATCTTTTACTAATATTCTCTTATAAGATCTTATTACATAGTCAGAGTGACTAATAAGCAAGCTTCTATCTGAGAACTCAGTGTCTGCTTTAACTGATTGTTTCTCTTTTTTACATATTATTACATGTTTGAATATCTTTCTGATAAATAATCATTTCTAATAAGAAGATAATGAATGTTTTTCAAGTGTAAGAGACCTACACTGAATAGATCAGTATAATATATAGGTCTTATATAACAAAGTAAAAAATGTTAAAGAAGAAAAAGAAAGAGAAGATGTGAGAATCAGCAATTGAGATGAATATTTATATGTGTACACAGTGTGTACGCGGTGAAGCTTTGAAGCGGAAGAATAGGAATTCTGTGAGTTTTTCAGCTGAGAATCAGTGATTGAGAATGACCGAGAATCGGAGCTTTCGGCGGAATCTATGGAGTGTAAAGGAATAGTCTATATGATGATCGGGCGCAGCCCGTCACAGTGAGTAATCATTTCTAATAAGAAGATGATGAATATTTTCCAAGTATAAGAGGTCTACACTGAATAGATCAGTATAATATATAGATCTTATATAACAAAAGTGAAAAACATTAGAGAAGAAAAAAAAAAAGAGAAAGTGCAGGCATCAGTGATCAGTGTGAATATTTATATGTGTATACAGTGAAGCTTCGGGGCGGAAGAATAGGAATTCCGTGGGTTCTTCAGCCGAGGATCGGCGACCGAGAATCGGAGCTTTCGGCAGGAATCTATGGAGTGTAAATAGTCTATATGATTTATCGGGCGCAGCCCGCCACAAGAAGAAAGTATGGAGTAAAGAAATGAGAAAATGAAAACTCTCATTTCTCTCAAATATTTCTAAAGCTTGTCTTAGAAAGCATGCAGGCAGACTCAGCAACATGAGAAGAATAATACTCACTCTGAATCAACTGAGATGAGACATAGATTTCCTACATGCATCATCTCAGTGGTCACAGCCTTGTATGAGTTGTACTATGTTGCTAATACTGTCAAGCGTAAATATGCGCTTCTATTTGCAATAACATATAAATATGAGAGTAGACAGTATTCCAAATGGTTCTCTCTACCCACTCTTTTCCGCGACTGATATATGAATATTCCTTGGAATCGCCATATCACTCCCCTATGAGATGAGATAGATTGCTGTCAAGCGCATACATGCATACAGTGTGGTTACATCCTTCCATACATGTCACTCTTATTATGAAATACCGTACACGATACAGATACATACACACCATACGTACGATACATACTGCTAGATATTCCAGAAGCTCTTCCCATCTAGCTTCTGTGCTAGTTCATTAAACTACCGTTCAATGTTTCCCTTCTCCCAGTTCTCAATCTGTTGAGATAAAAATGTAACTTGCAACTCTAACCACGCAATGTATTCCAGAACCCAGTCAAAATGAAAACAAAAAATAAAATTATAAAGAAAATATGATACAACAATAAGTCATCACCAACCAACGCTTTCTTCCAGAACACAAATAATTACACACTCCCCAAGGCTGATGTAACTTCCACCAAGGTTCCCCTGTTGTGAGACTTTCCACTCACGCCCCGTGTTTCTAGAACCCTTCTAGAAGGATCGTGACACGCTTGGAGTTGAAGTCTCCGAAGAAATACGTGCTAGAATGAATGGAGATCAAACATGCGAAGATTATTAGAACAAGTCTGTAAACACCCGTCTGTCAGGCTCTTTCTAAATCATATCAATTGCCGTTCACTGTATTTCAATATTTTAACTTTGTATTTTGCTTTTTTTTTTCTGTTTTTCCCAGGTGGCACATTTCCTTGTCACTGATATCAGCTATGGCGAGAATGAATAAGTTGATGATTTGAGCAGAAGAGGAATGGGGAAAATATGGAAAGAAAAAAAGAAAAAAAAGTCTCTTCTTTTCTTTCCTGTTTCCTTCAAGGTTTTTATGGTTATTTTGATTTTTATTTTTATTATTATTTTTTTTTTCTTTTTGTCGAAAAGTTTGCCCTCATCCCCGTTCACCCACTCTGTGCAAATTCTACTATCTCGCTCTTCTTCCGGGCCCAGTTGATATTGATTAGACATGCATAACTAATACAAAGGAATCCCGCCCCCCAAGAACAGTTCAGGAGGAGTAAAAAACAGCCGACTCAAAAATGAAAAAACTTTCACAAAACTTTGATGCCAGCTTCATATCTTCATCCAGCTGCAAATACAGAACAGCACAGCACAGGCTTCTTCATGACTCATGTCATCAGAGGGGAATAAAATGAGCCGGTTCAACCCTGAAAGGTGGAAGTTGTCCTTTGCCCAGATTACTATGGGAAAAGCCTATGTGCAAGAGACAGTGCTTTGATTGAGTTCTCTCACAGTACAGAGTACAGTTCTCTGTAAGATGAACAACTAAGCAGGGAGGGGAGGCAAATTGGCACAGCTTTTTTTGTGCCTCTAGTGCAATGGCTGCAGAGCCGCGATGTTGATAAGGTCGAAGAATGAATTAATTTCATCTTGTTGAAATCAAAAGGTTCACATGGTCTTGGTGGATTTCTGTCAGGCACGCGGGGCGATGGAAGTGTTGAGGTGAAGGTACATGTACATACATGTACATTTATATGCGTGTCCGGACAAACGGGGTTCTCGGTCTATGTACATACATGTCCATCTACGGAGGCACTTTTGCTTGCCGCGATCCTTTCCCGCCCTTGGATTGTGGCTTTGTTGCCTTTGGGGAAGGGTGGATGGGGAAATAGGCGCACCGATACCGGGAACCTTTTGTTCATTATTTCCCTATTTGTCAGGGATTCTGCTGGCGTTGAACTTACAAATTCAAAGGGAGGGGGCATTTTCCCTTTCAATTTGGTTTTCATTCATGTCTCCTCATCACTGACATGAGAATCAAAAACATGGAACCGGGAACAAGAATCGGGATATTTGATTATATCTCTTACTAAAAGAGGTGGCGGCAAATTTTATTGAGAGAGACAGAAAGAGAGAGAGAGAGAGAGAGAGAGAGAGAGAGAGAGAGATGCCATGAATGCTGCTTGAGTTATATACAGGCCTGTGCAGGTATGATCATGGTACTCTTGAGTGATGTGATGTATGTGAATCTATATGTCTATCTATCTTTGTTAGCAAGCTATTTGCTTGCTCTGCAAGGAAAAACTTTGCACAGAGTCAGCTTAGAGCACTAACAGGCACAGGTTTGACTTTTGATCCATGAAGACATGAGCATGAGTATAAGATTATATTGTCTCCTCATCAGGGTAGCAGGCACTGTTAGAAGACATCCCTGATGTTGAAGGCATGCAAGTCATTGTTTCACTCAGAGAAGAAATTGAAGTGCTAATGAAATATAGTCATATTTTTGAAATCAATCATTTTGCACTCATGTCATTGAGAGCAACCACTTCTGCCTTTGTCACTGTCATGTTAACAGGAAGCTAACTGATGTATATATCCATCATATAAATGTATTCTTTCAATATTCACTTAACTAATAAATACCATTCTAGTTTATAGCTCACAGAGAATGTGCATGAGAATTATCACATTATGCATTACCATTTATATTAGCTTATTAAAGCAGAGTAACCTCAAAGGTTGATGAACTCATAGCAGAAGTCATATCTTAATCCCTTCATATCTCCTGGAACAATGTTACCCATTGAAGTTTCCATCACAATGATAACCACCTTCTGCCGTATCCTGGATAGGCGTCCGATGCATCCGAGGGAACCTGAAATCCTAATATGAGGCATATATAGAACCTCCGATACCTGGCAGAATCCCAATGACACATTATATCGTGAGAATATAGGCAGTATAAACTTCAATGGCTCTTGGAAAACATGTATTGAGTGCAGAATAGTTCGATGAAGTTCTTCAGTATGAGGAACTGACTGGTGTCTCATCATGTACATGTCCATGTACATGTACAATCAAGCTCATCAAACCCTTTTCAGGAAGAAATGGCAGAGGCCTTCCTACGTTCACAGCAAACATTTCTTTCCCCCATCCATTGATTTGGGATGCTTCGTTATGTCTGTCCCCAATGTGTGCTCTACTACCCTAATTCCATTATCCTGTAGGATGCCTATAGGATAAGTACATTGTCGTACCTCTGTCAAATACCCAACATTAGACCCATCATCGGGAGAAGACGCAAAAGCAGCCGAAAGATGGATCTTGTGAATCTTGCACCTACTAGCAACAAACATTGTTTCATATGAGGCTTCATCAGCAATCAATCAGAACGCACCAAGCAGCGTAAATTAGTGGCGCGAAAGGTCTTGGATAGTCTTTCACAATATCTGTCAGTTCAACTTCAGGCCGAAATGAAGTCAATATATGATAAGCCTGTGTGCTAGGGCAGGCGAAAGCTCTCTCCGATTTAGTAATAACTATCACACTCGACTCAATTTATAAAAACTGCGAGTTCGTCTCTAACTTGAGGTGATTCCTGTTCATTGCTTTTTTCCAGCCTATGCCCTGAACACTTTGAGTGGTTAAAATATGCTTAAACGTCAGGTGGAGACGCCCCGCGCTGATAGGTTGGATAAACTTACCATCCGTGGGGACTAATTATAATTAGTGATGAGACGAAGGATGAGATATTTAATCTAACAATACAGCTTGGCCAGCATGAGTTGTTTCCTACTTTTGAAGTCCTCGCTGCAGTCCACGAGCCAAGAGAGGTTGCCACAGCTCTCCTAAAAACTCCTCAGCTGCTGGAAAAGCCCGTTTGGCTTCGAAGAGCAACGATGCAACCTCAAAGTTCGTCTCCAACATAACAACTTTCCTGTGGACCACCTGGATATCAGATTGATAGTCGCCCTGACACTTCACGCACAGGTATATATATATATAGTATTGACAACGACTCCGCCCGTTGTGGGAGAGTAGTTGATGCCCAAGTGCGTGGTCTACCCTTTCCTACCCCCTATTCGGGCACGCCTTTTGCTCAGTCTTTCGACGGGCTGTGTATGCTTAAACACCTGTGATGAAGCTAACAGTTGTAAAGCATTTGAATTGACATACGCCACCAAAGGAACGGGATATTAGGAGAATATTCAATCCTCATCAGTGTGCCAGGAGGCGAGTACATGACGCTTGATAGCAAGACACAGAGGCCCTCATCCCTTCCTTGAGGCGGAACCCCCATCCGCTTGCTACTATCCTTTAGAGGCCGGAAGGATAGGCATGAAGCCCAACGGCTATAGCTCAGTGTTCCCATCAATCGCAAAACCACAGCCACAGCTGCGGAAACTCTTTGCGCATCAGGGAGCGTTGGGAGAGGATGTTCTAGTGCTCTAGACCGTAACTACAGGAGACAGATAGGAACAGGAATTTGCTCCATCAAACATAACGATGGGTCGGTGGACCTCCGCGGAATATATAAGGCAGAAATAAAACCTTATAAACATCGAACTTTGGCCGCTACGGTGGGATTTTTGTGTGTACTGCAGAGTTGCAATCCTGCTCCTGCAATTGCGTGCTGCTCGCTCAGCTGATATCTGATAGCACTTCCTGTGGTTTTGGTCAGTCGATGGTTTGAACCCGCCTGGAGCTCATGTTGCCTATTTCTAGCTAATATAAGAAAGAATGCATGCAACATATACCTAGGAAGCTCAGTAATATGCAAGAGTGCGAGGTTTGTTCCAGCAAGTCACTCTGGCTTCGTTTCTGTTGTCCTTTGAGACGTTCAGATTAGATCCTGCATAGTACCTTCAGTTCAGCAAGCTTACTGATTGCAAAACGTCCCTCGCAGAAAACCTTTTTTTGATAAGCCGTGTGATGCGGGCTTGAACCCGTCTGTTATTCCTCCAAATCGTTTTGCGTGGAATGAATGAATGGAATCATTAAGATTTTAAACTTTGGAATTCCATATTTCGCCATTGCCGAAGTTGGCTATCTTTTTTCTGACTACTATATATAGGTTTCGGCGCCCCTCCGCATCTATTCCACACCCGTTGTTCGATTGACTATCGCCTCATGGCCGAACGGGCATTCAAGCTTTTGTTCGAATGGTCTGGATACCTGGGTAGGTATCTACCTGTTTAGGTTTATCTAGCCAAGCTACATTAGGTAGTTATTCCACGGATTGTTGCGGAAACTCAGAAGCTATCTACTCCCTTTATGCTGAAAGCTTGATGAAATTTCAAAGTAATAATGATGTTTCTTATTTGGCTTCTTTTTGAGGATCAGTAAGGACAAGGCCAATATTCCATTACAACAGCTTCGACATCAAGCACTCCGGCAGGCTTTTGCACGAGTCTCCTCATTCATAACTACACCCAGACACTGTATCTAATAGGAAAAAACACACTTAATTTCATTCATATATTTCAAAACTCCTCGCCACAATGGGGTATGCCAACTGGATTAACTTGCATTTAACAAACGGTCTTGAAGGGCCACTCGCAGTTCAGAATTCTCAGCTGTTGCAGTATGTAATATCCTACATTTCCTTGCAGCACAATACAATCGCTTGAAGGGAAAAGCCGTATATATATATAGAACCCCCTCCCCAGAGGAAGCTAGAGGGAGCAAGATATGCGTCGAACCGAGCTAACTCAATGGCTCTTCCCCATTTCCCCCTTCTCGCACCATACAGCGGGAAATTCTACACCAACGACAACAAGGACGAAGAAATCACGCCCGACCAAGTCGACGAGATCGTGATCCCCGAGTCCGGCTCGGGCGATATATACAGCTGCGGCAGACAAGGTGCGCCAGCCGGCACGCAGGGTTCCGTCGACCTGATCGATAAAGACACCCTGCAGAAAATCTGCACCATCAATTGGTCCAGCCCCTTTGGCGGCGGTAGCAATTATATCAGTGCCTCGGACGTCGATAGGCACTATATGGTCGGGGTCCCTGCCGTCAGCGCGAATCGGCCTGTTGGCTTTGTTGATATCAGCGTCGCGGAGTTGTAGAGGTAGGTGATTGTGGGTCTGATTGGGTTGGATGTAGTTATTCCGAAAGGAAGAAAGGGGTGCTTGACCTTCGCTCTTTGAAAAAGAAAGAAATGAATGTATTAATATTCGGGGAAAGGAATGTGGTCGAAGAAAGTATTCATAGCACTCTTCTTGGGCGCATCGTCGCGGGAAGTTTTGGACGGTTATCAGTGAATAATCCCTGTACGTATGTAAATCAGCCAAGCGAGAGCTAAAAGTAAATTAATTTCGTCACTTTATGAAGTTATCCTTGCATTATCTTCTCTACTTCCACCGTCGAGTTATGAGCGCAGTAGCTGTCATTCCGAGCAGCGAAGCTGTATATTACAAGAGACAAAAGAGGTGCGAACATCTTGAATCCACAAAAAGAATAATTAATATTTTATTTCGTCGAATTAGTTACATTAAATCATCCCATTCCCATAACATAAAAATAAGCATCACATGTATAACTTGCTCCTATCCGCCACGTTTCTCCTCGTAACCAGCCCAATATGTCCCACCTGCTCGCCGGGGAGCGAATCACCAATCAGCCCAGGGATTTCCTTCAACCCCTCACTTTCATCCAAGTCTTTATTACAACCGACGAGGTCAGGGCGTCCACGAATATCCTCCACGCGGTCCGCGCCAAACCGGAAGAAACTGTATCCATCCAGTGTCTCTGCCCAGCGCCGCCTAAACCCATATGTGACACCAAGCACCAGACAACCCAAAGCCCAAATGCAGAAAAGGACAATGGGGATGAGAGCTGGGACAGTACTAGGACCAAGAATCTTGCCCGGTTTCGAAGCCTTCAGGGTTTCATGCTCGTATGCCCCGTCAAGATTCTGCAGGCCATCGTACATCAGCTGCAAGGCTTCAACACTAAATGCACGAATGACAGCCTCCAGTATCTTCTGCGCTTGGAGGAAGTATGTATAGCGAGAGTCGTTGGAGTATGATTCCGGTGGAGGTGAGTTCGTGGATTTAAATAGCTGGTCGTATATCTCGCCATCGGGGACAAGGGTAACTAGCAGGTTCGACACTTCGGTACCGAAGGGATTGGAACTGTAAAGACTTGCTGTGCCATTGTTGGGTACGGCGGGAACGGGGACGAAGGAGTGGAAGGAAGAATAAGCCGGATCGAGGACGGCAGTGCCCGCTTCGGAGAAAAAACTGCATCGGACGCCGACTGGGGGGGCTTGTTCGATGACATCGCTAATATTGTTACCATGTATGTCGAAATGTTCTATTGGGTTCTTTGATCCGCGTGGTCTCGCGTCAAAGAAAGCATTGTTACACTGATAGGTCCCGTTCTCTGCTTTAACCAACGGGCTGCCCAATCCCGAAACTGGTGAAGTGATCGTGTTATTGAAATTGATTGGAGCACTTTCCTCGTAGGTAGCTTTGTACCGTACCTGCCACATGGCATATTCGAAAATATTAGTATTCTGGGGATCTTCGTGGTGCTCCCTGGTTGTGTTCCACGCTGTGGCAGTCTCCAGGTATGATAACAGATTGAAAGTATCTGAACTATACGCCAACACTCTACTAGAATTCCTGCCCACAAGGGCAAAATCAGACGCAGACTCTACCACAGAGCAATTGTACCCTAATCGGAGCCCCCACGCACTTCCACGAACTGGATACTGTCCTTGAGGGGCAAGGAAAAGCTCCGGAGCAAATTCGTTGACTGGGAGGGTGTTAGGCAAAGTCTCCAGATAAGAGTATTCGCTGCGATCCAGGTATCGTGGGGTGTAGATCACTCCAGCCCCTGGCAGGGTTGGAGGAGCGCTGGCTTGTAGGAGGGGACGACCACGCCGGTATACCTGGCCTGGGCCCCGGATGTCAAAGTTCTCCATTGTGTACCCAATTACCTTCGCAGGATTGTCTGTCCGAACAAATCCATCAAACAGTTCCATGCTCAGACCCGAAATTGGCAGTGCGATTGTCACCATGAGGCTTATGAAACTCAGCAGGTACCATAACCGTTGCACGACACTTCTCCTCTGGCGAATTGACATCTGTAAGCATTCCATCCATCCCGAAAAGCCGGACCAGGACTGCCCACTATGCACGAGAAGGACCATGGCATCCTTGACCTGCCAATGCCGGTCCTGAAGCATGGTAGCCTCAACGCCAGCCAGTCCGTACTTGGAGATACCCAGGCCAAAGACACCGAGAATAAACCACGAATAGTAGACCCAGAGAGCATTGCGGTGACCATATCGATTGGATGCCGCATTTTTTGATATTAAAAACCACTCTATCAAGCAGAAGTAGGCCGTGATTCCTAGTGGCACAATCACTAGCAGGAGAGACCTTCGCCAGTATCTTTGGAGAGGGTACCCAGACGGAGACTCTTTAGATTCTCCCACCCCATCGCTGCTATCGTTCTTGTGTTCGGTACTCGCGTCAAGGAGTATGTCCGTCTCCGAAACAACGGGGCCGTCTTTCCACCCTGGCCCACGTTGATTGTGAACGGGCTCGGAAGTTTCGCCAGGGGAACTAGATCCTGGCGTGATGGTTGTAGCCATCGAGATTGGTCGAGGCCAGTAAACGGAGGCTCAGCACGGAGTACGGAGAAGGCAGGACTAGACTTGACAGACACATAGGTAGAGATAAGAATGGCTTTTTGGTTAGCGGAACGCATTCACCTCCCATCCCGACGCTGGGAGTGAGGGAGAGACCCGTATATAAAAATTAAAATTTAAAAAAAAAAAAAAAAGAAAAGAAAGAAACTTAGAAACAACCCCTTCCAGCAGCTCGATGCAGCCCCCACCCCCCCATCTCCTTTTTCATGGACGTGTTGGTCATCTTCCCAAGCTACTGCAGCCCAGACCTGAAGGAGGGGGAAACGAAGCGCCGCTATCTAGCGTATTTCTTTTCTGGCCCCCAGCTCTGAGCAAGCACACCTCTGCTGGACAAGATTCCTCGTGCAGCAATTGGCCAAGCCAAGGGTGTAAGGCGGAGACACCGAGAGCGCTCTGTGGTGCTTCGCTGAGAAAGTTGAGGCCAGCCTTGCCGAACTGGTTGCAGGAGAGGAGCTCCCTCAGCCTCAAGCGTCAGGACCGTCCCGCCCGGCCAAACTTTAACCTTAGGGTTATTTTTGGAGAACCTCCGTGTTTGTTTTTCATTTTTTCCCCCGCCAGGATGGAAGTCATCGAGGGCAGAGAGGGGGGGTTGTTCATGGCTGGCAGGTTTCCATCCAAGTGCTCATCTCCCCCTGAGAGCCGCAAAATCCCTCGAAAAAGGAGACAAAGGAGAGGATCAGACTTTTAGCGCGACGTGGCTTTTGGAGCCAAAACAGGCCCAAGCACCATACCTTCTCCATCTTGGCAAAAACATATCGGGATTCGTGGGCCAACGGGGGGGAAAGGGGGAAAAAAAAGGTAAAGGAAAATGTAAATGACCAAAAATAGAAGACAGTTAATGTAGTTCCTCTCTCCCCTCCTAGAGGTCGGTCGACTGGTTGGGATACCAAGATGGCAAGTAGTAGAATAATAAATAGCACATTGAAATCCATGGGGCGGATGAACATAATAAAAAATAGAAATAGAAGAAATAAAAAAACTAAACCAACAAGAAGTGATTATGATATGTGTAGATATTTTTTATTTCTTATTTACTCAAGTCACTAAAAGAAAATATTAATATGATAATTAGATTTCTTTACCCTATTATACTTTATACTATACTTCTTCAAGAGTTCTTCTCCTCCCATCTTTCAATTCTTCTTTGCTGCACAGCAAATCTTTTTTTAGATGTGTGTGAATGTGTGAATGTGTACTCCTCATGTCAGCTGTAGCTCTCTCTCTCTTCTCTATCAAAAAAAAAAAAAAAAAAAAAAAAAAAAAAAAAAAACCGACACTAGGAATGGAAATGGAAACTCGACCATAGCACCTAAACTAAAAGCAAATAATATAATAACGGAGAAATGGGGGAAAAATGCAAACGAAGAACGGCAGGTAAAGAAACAGCGAGACGGGAGGGAATTGGAGACAAGAAGACTCGGAAGATGAAACAAGGGGGAAAAATATAATTGAATAACAGCATAGGAGATAAAGGAGACAATGGGGAAAAAAACCAAAAAGAAAAACTTCCGACGAGGAAAGGAAAGGGAAAGGAAAGTGATAATATTTCCACTTCCACACAACAGTTATTCCCATCAACGGCACTTCACGATGATGGTGATGTTAAATGAAACCCATTAAGTTAGCTAGCCAGTCCAGAGCTTTGGCCCCCTCCCTATTGTTCACGTTCATATATATATACAAAGGAAAACGTGTTCTCGTGTTTAAGCAAAAATCGACGACCGGGAAGGATGTTTGTTTGGTTGTGGTGGTAATTGGTGAGCTTCTCCAAATGAACTAACTATTCTTCGTTCGAGATAAGCTGGCAGTAAGGGGAGGGGGGATTTGGATTCGGCTTGGTCTAACTGACAATTACCCATGGTCCCTATAATCGACACATAGGTATAGATGGTAGAGGTAGCAGCAAAATGCCTGCATCCTATAAACCCGACAGAGTTCGTTGATGCTGGCGCGTTGCAGAGCATGAAACATAACGCCTCCAGTAGAAGAGCAGAGCGAATTGCCGCGGCCAAAGACCGGTGGGAAAACAGGATTGTGGTATGGAAATGGGAGAAAGAACACAGATCTATTATTAAGCAGGAAAAAAAAGTAAAAATATGGTTGCAAAAAAGTCGGTTTTGGGGGATTTCACAAAAGGAGACATTTCGCGTTCGCTTAGTGAGGACGGAATTGTGTACGTGGTTAGGACAAGGGAGGGCCGTAAACACGCAGGAACAGGAGAGGGTAGACATTTTGAGAGAGCCGAAGGAGGGTCAGATAGCTAGGAGAGCAAAAGCGGACAAAAATTATATTAAGAACCAAAAAAGAGAAAGAAAAAATGATATTTGATACGAAACTCCGGAAATCAATCGATCAAAGAGCTTAACGTGGAAAATATAAGAGTGTGGTTGTAGCAGAGTTTAAAAGGGAAAAAGAGGAAAAAGGAAAAATGAGGATTGAAAAATTAGTACAAACGAAATGAAAAAACTCCATCGTGGCCCATTGTCGTAAGTGGGCGTAGCTATGCAATTAATCAATCCAGCAGGAGCCGAGAAAAGCTGTAGATACAGACAGGTGGAATACCAATGGCATTTAAAATGACTCCATCGGCTAGAAATGGAAGGGGTGAGATTAATTAAATGAGACCGCGGGCAAGGTTGAGGTAGAGGAGCCCGAGGGCAGCGGATGTCGATGTTATGTGGTGTGTGCATTTCAACCTATGAACGAGTTAATAATAAACACAAAAGGAAGTAGGGTAGACGGTTTAAACATACCACAGCATAAAGCTTTCATGACCTTCTGTACAAAGGTTGGTTCCGGGTCTTGCGCGGGTCGCATTTGTGTCGAGTGCTGAGTATTCATGCCATGGGTACCGGGAGTGGGAATGCGGCCCGGGAGATGGGCATTGGAGTGTTGAAATTGAGCCTGAGTCGACGCAGCCGGTGTTGTCTCAAGACCCCCCGCCACTCCGTTTTGACGTTTGACTTGCGGCCCGCCGGAGGCGCTTTGCCGCTCGCGCGCTTTCCCCACTCCCTGTTTCGCGGGAGATGGGGGCGGGGGTTGCGCGGCGTTTAAACGGTCAGCTGTTACACCTGGTCTATGTGGGCCCCTAGGCGCTGGTACTCCATGAAGGTCACGGGCTGATGTGTTTGGAGCGTTGGTCGCATGGAGGTGATGTTGGGGAGGATACTGCTTGGCTGCTTCCCAGCCCCTTCCGCCATTTAATTTCATCCAGTCATACTCGCCGTCTTCTACCTCTCCGGTGTTCTTCAATGCCTGGGTGAAGAGGTCGCGCAGGTAATCATAATCAGGGGTATCTTCGAATCCCAGATTTCGGACGTAGGTCAAATATTTATTAAATTCCTCTGTTGAAGCTGTTGTCAGCATTGGCCACTTCCCACCAAAGAACACAATGTTAAGATGGTATATATATATTACGTACCAGGGTATCCATCACACAGATCTTTCACTGCGGTAGTCTGTTTCTTCTCGCCAATCTTTTCGTATTTTTGTTTGTTGGTAGCGGCTTTTAGGCCCTGCCACGGCAAACCACCCCTTAGGAAGTACATGAAAACATGGCCTAGGGCTTCAAGATCATCACGTCGTGACTGCTCTCGGCCGAGATGGGTGTTGATACTCATGTATCTTGCAGTACCCGAGAGTGACTTGCGTTCCCGGTAAGGAATATGTTGCTTGGTCTTGGGGTCTCTATATTGCTTCGCCATTCCGAAATCAACAACGTGGATGACGTTTGCCGCTTTGGAATTTGGTCTACCAATGAGGAAGTTGTCTGGTTTTATGTCTCTATAGATCAAGTTCTTTTCGTGTATCGTCTGCACCCTTGAAAGCTAAACGAGACGGGAAGAGTCAGTAGACGCCTCAGTGGTAAAGTAATGCAGTACGTACCATTTGTTTGGCCACCATAACCACTGTCTTTATCGAAAACCTTCGATTGCAGTGATCGAAGAGATCCTCTAAGCTCGGTCCTAGGAGGTCGATAACAAGGATATTGTGAAGGCCCTCCTGGCCAAAGTAGTAGACATTAGGTATGCCAGCTATTCAGGTGATAGATAGAATCAGTAAAAGACGGCCATTTCCGAAACTGTGTATTCAATTTTGATCCACTTACGGCACCCAACAAGGACTTTGTACGTTCTATACTCATCTCGAAGCTGTGGAGCATCGCTTTTCCGAGGTTCCTGCAACCAAAATTCATTAGCACATGCTTCGGTTGAATATTGCATCCCACAAAACAATGGCGAGTATAATGATAATAGTTCAATCAAAAAAAAAAAAAAAAAAAAAAAAAAAAAAAAAATCTCACATACAAACTTGATAGCAACCTGTTGGCTGTTCAGCAGGTTGGTGCCTTCGAAGATCACACCGAACGAGCCCTCGCCGATTTTTTTGCCCACACGGTAGTGGACACCGACGACATTTGACGAAGAGGTCATCACGACTTGCTGTGACGACCGACAGGGCCTTGGGGCACAAATCGAGAAGGGGTTGTGTGTGAAGACAATATGGCGGTGGGAAAGGTTGGGTTGGGGATTGTTGAAAGGGCGGCTGCGGAGAGGTGGACGTTAATGGGCGCTAGACCGTGACGGGCTTGGCATGGGTGCTGAGGGTCAGTAGCAGGCGTTAGTCTACTAGGCCAAAAAATGAAATTGGACAGAAAATTTCGGAAACCACACGCCCAGAATAAGAAGAATTATAATTATTCAAGGGGACATATATTGCTTACACAGTCTCGTCAATAATAGGTCTTCGTAGGAGCAGTGATAGTTGTAGCAGTAGTAGTGGTAGTAGCAGTACGCTGTAGTAGCTGTAAGCAGCAGCGGAGGGCTCTCCCGAGGCTGGGTAACAGGACCAACACGCCCCTAAAGCGGATGGCGCCTCGACTCGATCAAACTCAACACCCTTCTAGTAGGACGGAATAAAAGAGAGCACAGAAGCTTAAATCGGATAAGCCCCTTGTTTGGTGATATATGCCCGCTTGTTGTGTGGTTGGCGGCGGGAGGGAAAGAAGGAGGTAGGAGGTAGAGCCGAAGGATCTGGGTCGAACAAGGACGACAGCAGGATTATGGGAAGGGCGAATTAAGGAGAGAGACAAAGGAGAGGCAAGGTGCACAGGAAGGGCGATAGAACGCACTTCTGCTGAGAATCGAAGTTGAATCTCGAAAACGAGGGAGGGAAGAGAGGGAGGTAGGAAAACGGGGAGAGGGAGACAAGAAAAGAGATGAAGAAGAGCGCTGGGGGAGGGAGTCGGGAGCGGGTTGCAGCGGCCAGAACGGGTCTAGCGGTAAATACTCGTACCGCGGACGAAAGCCGGTATCAATACCACCCTGTTGACCCGTGTGGTTGGCTGGCGCTGCTCTTGGCGTGTGGCTCAGTGACCACCCAGGACGCCTGATTACACAGCGTGACCGTCCAGCGCTGTCTCGGCCATTTCATGCCTATTATTATTTTACGGAGTATAAGCATAGTACGGATTAGCAGCTTATATTTTCCTACTCCGTAAATGATAACCACAATACCACAGGGATGGGATTTCCTCTCTCTGTCTCTCTCTAGGTTGAACGGGCGTCATGATGGGACTAGACGCGGTGCCAGTGCAGGGGAGACAACACCTCATATGCACTCTGCTCTCCTCAGCACCAGCTCAGCGCCCACCCAAGTGCATTGGAACTGATTGCCAGTGATTGGGGAGAACTCCTCCTACCTAGGTATTCTATCCTATCCTATCCCGGTCATGCCATGTCTTGAAGCAGCATCCGGGACTTTTTAAGATTGCTGTTTAATTCCTGCCCTGAAAACAGCCTGCCTAGGTGCGAACTACGAACTATGGATCCCACAATCAATCCATCACGTCACCACTCTCAGATCCCTTAGTTCTTGACTGACTGTATCTAACAACTCAGCGATTGGATATGAGTGACCCCAGAGAGCAGAGTAGCAAACTCTGAAATGTCAAGAAATCTCCATATGGAGTATATCATAGATCCATCCATACCCACGATCATCTCTCCACCCACACAGATCTCCATGACGTTCCCGGTTTTTCCTCTTTACCTTATCATTATTATTATGTTTATTACTATTTACCCCCATCTCCATTCTCCCCTCTTGGCAGCTTCTGATTGGCAGCGACCTCATCGAATCACGGGGACTTGCTACTACTGTGCTATCTAAATCGATGAACTGTGTTCTGCACTACTTGTGATAGGCAGCCCCAACCTGCTTTTGCTGTGACGGACTAGACAAGTTTGAATGTGTGTAAAGAACATGTGCATTATACACGGAGCCACATCAGCTCAACGACTCAACTGGAATGAAGTCAAGAGATATGCGATCGGGGTTTCGTCATGAAACTCCAGCCATTGCTCTTTTTTCCTGTCAATGTATCTATAAATCCACCCGTACCTGGATTTGGAGGTTGGTTTGACAATGGGGTGTGAAAACAAACTATCAAATATTCTGACCATTCACCATCAGTGGACGGAGTACTCCGTACAGTATTTCCATTTCCTCTCTTAACCAGAGTTTTTTAAGAGGCTAATGCCTGTTGCATCTGAACAAACCAGCTACAGTTTATAAAGCTAGAGCCTACTGCGTAAGTCTCAGGCTGCTCTGGAATCAAAGATCCTTGAATGGTAACAGTATTACAGCTCAAACATGATACATAGAGTTATTACAACGGGAACCTAACCACTCCCCGCTGTCAATGCCTTTGGTCCTTCAGACTCGGGTACGGTACGGGAGGACATAATAGGGACCATCACACATACCTCCGCCCCCCACCAAAAAAAAAAAAAAAAAAAAAACACCAACTACCATTTCCCTCTCCGAATTGTGATGGTTGGTTTAAACTTTCGTGCTTCCTGTGCCTGGTTCCTAGAACACAGATAAGTATGTAATCTGGTAATTTGGCTTTTGGGGAAAATTCTTTGGAAGTGGGCTTTGTTTTGGAACATTCACATATTAGAGAGGCTTGTCATTTTGACTCTTCAGTATGGAGAGTGTGTTGGGGGGGAGTTATGTTGATTTTAGGGGCTAGTACTATATAGCTCCTTTGTTATTTACTATGAGGATATGCATATAGGGTGGTGATGAAGAGGTCAGAAAATAAATCAGCGTCATCGAGTAGATGTAAATAGCTATATGAAGTTGGAGATTTAGATGTACAGAGCGATTACGATCAGGGCAACAACAGTGGTCTAGCAGAAGTAGGGACTAATCTGAGAAGCAAATAGAATGAGGGTATATATATCTGCACACACACAACACACACAGGTTGTCATGTGATATTTGTAAAGGTAAATGGTGTGAGAAAGCCAGATATATATATCTATATCCATGGATAGGTGATAGAGATGAATGAAGGGGTGAATGAATCAGAAACTCAGGATATCGTACAGCGTCTGCGTCTCAAGAAAGACAACCACATCATAATCATGATCGTAAGGAAGGAAATCCGTCGTCCGCCATTACCCTAAATAGCACAAGTCACGTTGGACATGAAGACCAGCTCAAAGTGCATCAAGAGTGGAATATGGCTAGCCTGTACTCTGTAGAATGCATGAACTTAAAATTGACAAGGGATGATGAACCCCTCAAAAAATAGCATACTTGACAAGAGAAGACCAAAAGAAAAAAAAAATTCTACACACCCCCTCCCTTCCCAACACCGCCAAAGTTCCTGAATAGTCCTCACTCAAATCTCCTCAGCTTCACTCCCTAACTCCTCCCTGACAAGATCTCTACCCTCCTCAGGATCATAAGCACCCTGCCCGTCAGCATCCTCATCCTCCTCGTCACTACTAGACCCGCTCCCCTCACTTTCACCCTCGCTACCAGGATCATAGTCCTCCTCCTCCTCCTCTTCTCGATCCTCCATCTCCCTCTGCGCCTTCATCAATTCAGACTCCTCCTCCTCCTCGCCCTGCCCAGCATAATTACCAGCTCCAGCACCCACAGCACCATCAGCGCCGTCATCCCCGCTCTTCACGCCGTTGATGTTAAGTCTCTTAGCCCGACGCGCCTCAGCCAAGCTGGCATCTTGCAGCCCGTGCTTTTTGATATAGGCGTCAATGCCCGGGTGGTTCGACTGGTCGATCATGGAGAGCTCGAACTCCTGCACCTCGTCTGGATTTAAGGGGGAGCGGGCGGCGATGTTGAGGTTGAAGGTCCGCTGGAGCACAGAGGTGTAGGATATGGAGTCAATGTTTTCGAGGGAGAAGAAGATGAGGGGCTTTTTGAAGCCGAAGAAGATGCCCGTCGAGAGGAAGAAGAGGAATCCTGTTGGGAGTGAAAACACAGTTGTTAGTATAATATTAGCATTCGTAAAGGCGCCCCCTTTATTCAAGGTTTACATTGTGTATATAGGCATATCGCAGTGAGGGAGTGAGTAGGTTGAACAAATGAAGCATATATTTGACTCACCTTCCTTGCTCCCCCGGAACGCTTTGACATGATACGCCTTATCCCCTTTCCGATGGGCTTCAGGGGTCGGGCTCACAAATTCTTTCTCACTCGGGCAAATCACTTTCGTATGCCGTAGATTATCATCAAGCATTCGCTTCAGATAGCTTTCATATGTCTCCGCAAGATTTGCGCTCTCCATGGCTGGTGTGCCTGAGCCTAGGAATGCGGTTCGTGGCGGGCCATCCGGAATGGTCCAGACAATTGGCTCGAATGCAATTTGGTCATCGGGGACAGTCGTGATGCCATCCCCGTACTCGGGAAGTATACAGAAATTAAACTGCCGTTGAGTTTTCTCTGGGACAGGTAGGCAGAGGATATGCTCTATGCAAGGAGTTGTTCCGACGGCGTTAGTCAAAGGACCTTGGAGTTGTACGAAAGGGAGAAAAAAGAAATTAAAGATAGAACAAATAAAACAAGCCAAACTCACGAATCTTCGACATCGGAATCCCAAACTCCACCTCATTCGACGCCTGATTCCGCGCCCTCAGATATCCATCCTTCCCACCAGCAACAGAGGGCGCCAACCGCGTCAATTCCAACCGCAACTTCTTGCGCTGCGGAATAGCAAACGATAGGTCCTGTAAATAGAACTGTAGCTCAGTATCAGCCGTTAGGCCCGCTAACAGCGCTGCATCGTTCGTAGAACCAGCTCCCGCTCCCGCCCCTACTCCTACACCTCCATCGATGAGTTTGCGTTTCTTTGCCGCCGGGCCTTCTCCCGCTGCAACTCGTAGTTGGGAAGATGCGGATGACCCGCCACCTAGTCCGCTGCGGAGCGTGGAGGTATATTTTGCGATGTCTTCGAAGAGGCTGGTGTATTCGGGGGTGGAGGCTGGAGGTTTAATTTTATAGTGTTAGTTTATTGTATAGCCAAAAGAAAAAGGCAATTGAAGTGACTGGTAAGGAAGGGATTTGATCAATTTTTCCCCTATTTTTTCTTTCTTTTTCTGGTTTTTGACTGATGTGCAATTTTTTTGAAATGTTTAGATGGATCGGAGGTGTGACTTTACCAATCGCGGAATAGACGCGTTTGCGGAGCGGTGCGTTATCCTCGAAGGCCTTGTCGATGACAGCGTTATTGATGGTACTCGAGGACATGTCTATGTTGTGGTAAGTAAGTATTTCGAGAAATTAAGCGGGTGGGTGGTTGTTGTTTGACCTCCAGGGCTTATTGAGCGTGGAGGATGGCAGAGGGGCGGTTAAAAAGTCCGAGTGGGAAGGTGACGGGAAATCGTAAGCCAGGATGGGGAACAATAGAGGGAAAGGCTGGGCAGTTTCTTCTCCACGGTGTTAATACCCCGTGTTACTAAGAACAATGTATATATTCGTAAGGACTTCTATTTCTTAAACGGCTCACCAAGAGATACAATTAACAGATAAAGTGAACTAGATTTATCCTAATAATATCATACAACAGAGAGTCTTGTATTTTACAGGCGGGTTAAAACAGGTGCATCCAGAACAATGACAAGTGTGACCCTTCCTTTAGAAAACGCCCTTTCAACCTCCCCACAAGCTACGGAACTAAGAAAATTATAAAACCCGGCCCTCTCCGCGCCCCTAAGCGGGCACCTTTGACGCAGGCTTGCCCTGGCTCTGCTTCTTGGCAAGGAACTGCTCGATATATGAAGCGGTATCCTGAGGAACAACATAGTTTCCATTCTCATCTTTCTGCTGCTCCCGTTCCATTGCTCTCTTCTGGGCCTTCTGGGCCATAAATGCCGTCTTCGGCGTGACCCAGGGCGTGTTCCGCCGCTTCTCCATTTTCCTATCCTCCTCCTCCTTCGCCGCAACCCACTCGGGATCGTGCCGAGTGCGGAACTTCGAGAACTTATTCCTCAGCTCATCGATGATGGTGGCAGGGAATGGGTAGGCGTTGAGGGAAGGTATATGTGTGCGATCCTCGACCTCGATTCGCAGGGTATCGGCCGGTTCGTCGACGTGGGTTGGGGCGGCTGGCTGGGGCCAGGGGATTTCTACATCAAGGTCCGAGATGTATCGAGTGTGCTTGGGTGTATCTACGCCGTAAGGATGGTCCATGTAAGGTTCTCCGCCATACATGTGTTTAACCACGACGTCTTCCACCTTGCCCGTTTCCGAGTTGTGGAGGGGAACTACGAGCCGGACGTCTTCGAAGGGAACAGGTAGAGGGATTGGCCGGTATGGACGTTTGTCGGGCTCATTTGCTAAGATAAAATCGGGATAGCGTACGTCAACCTGATTTTATATTTTCGGTCAATGAGCATGTGCGTCCCTT